ACAATATTTACTTCGGATTGAGAATTGGGCACGACGCACGTCAGTGAGACCACCATCCTTCGAGGATATGTCCACTCGTTTCCGAGTTGGAGCGAATTCCTACCCATGGTGGAATTCGCCATCAATAATTCGGTGCATGCTTCCACACAGCACACACCGTTTTACGTAAATGGTTTACGCCATCCACGTGTGCCCACCCTTACAGAGTGTAACTCTTGGATAAGGGGGAGGGAATCGCTCGAGCAAAAACCGTTTTGGCTCTTGCTCATCACGTGTCGACGATAACGTCGTCACGTATGATGCCGATGTCGATCAAGTCGACATCGATGAAGAAGATCACCTCAATAATAGCGATGACTCGGATGATGATGACGATGCTGGTATATTCAGCATCGTCAACGATTATTCCAGCGAGGAAGAAGTCAACCTCGCTGAAGAAGAGAACAATCTCTTAGCAGTGCGCACGAAGCGCACTGCCAGACAAAACAAAGAGTCAGCAGAGAACTTCCTGCTGACTCGAGAAGCGGTAGTCCGTTTCGTTCAGGACTCCATCGCAAATGCGGTGGATCGTCAGAAACGAAACGCAGACAAGAATGGAAGAGCGAATGTTCATTCATTTAAGGTTAATGACCTAGTACTACTGTCTACGGTAAATTTACCTGGACATGCAGTCACTAGTGTCGGCAGTAGTTTACTACTGCCGAAGTACGTTGGGCCCTTTCGTGTGTTGCACCGCAAGGGCATTGCATACACGATCGAATTGCCACGTAAGATGCGCACGCATCCTACGTTTTACGTGGGGAGGCTTAGGTCGTACTGTCAGTACGAGCCTTCTTCTTCCGATGAAGATAGCCCCCACGTTCAAAAACATCCATCAAGTTCTTGCGTTCGCGCTCCAGACGATCCGTCTGGTCGCGCAGATATGATACCTCGGAACTTAACCGAGATATCTCCCCGCGAGCTGTCGCCAGCTCGCCGAATAGGGAGCGGACATCCCGCTCGACCTGAAGCTGCGCCGTGGCATAATCGGCGCGATCCCTCGCCCGATCAGCCTCGTGACCCTTGCGGTTCTTCCGCACGGTATCAGTCAAAGCGTAGCGCCGATCGCGCTCGTGCTTCAAGTCATCGCGCAATTCATCGATTGCGCGATCCATCTCGTAAGGGTCGAGATGGTGGGCCGAGTCATCTGGAGGAGGTCTTTCCTCCTCCTCCACATCCTTTGGTGGATGCTCACGGTGGTCGAAGCATTCTAGTGGAGCGTATCTTGAATCACCGTGATGATTCAGGATCAAGGACGAGCTACCTCGTCCAGTGGCGGGGGTATCCACCCTCCTGGAACAGCTGGGAGCCCCGCTCTCAGCTGTTGATGGACGTTGAAGGTCTCGTCCGCCAGTATGACGAGACCCATCCGATGAGTCCTGTGGCCCATCGGTAAATACGCGCTTTTGGCGCTTGTAGACGGATTGCAAGTTTGCAATCGCGTCACGCATCTCCTCCGAGATGTGTGCCCTTCCCCAGGGCGAACTTAGGGAATACACTTCCCTACGTGCACGCTGCGAGTTGTCAACACAACTCGCACAAGGCTCTCCCTATGTGAGGCAAGGAATGTCTACCTCACTCGACAAACAGCACAACCGGTACCTAGCACCGGTTGGTGTTCGCTTTTCGAACCTGAAGCGTGTCGCCTCAAGTTTCTTGAGCCACCCTTCTTGTCCAAAATTCTTTACGTTTTGGACGAACGCGTTCCACGCAGCCAAAAGCAAGGCTTTGTCACGCTTTTGGTTGCCGTTGTACTATTGATGTCAAACGAAGATATCGAGATAAAAGTCTTCTTCAGCGCAAAAGTTGCTCGCGCTGGGACTCAAGCCGTGAAGCTCAGTCGCATCGAATAAGGGTATTCGATGGTGTTGGCCTGTCTCGTGAGACAGGCTATTGATGAGCCGCTCGGGCAAACGCCACGGCTTCAGCTCATCACGCTTCACAGGGGTACCTTTGTTGGTACCACGGCTCCCATATTGACGACGGCTCACGCCATCGTCATCACGCTCGTTCGAAGAGGCCACAAGCCGCCGGTGTAAAGGAGTAATATTCCTCACCACCCTGATTATCGTCATCACTGCCGAACAGACTGTGATGCAAATCACAAGTCCGTTTGTTCGGCAGCGGCCTTGGCGAATACTGAGGCGTCGCCGGTGAGCGAGACGCCTCTGGAGCATTGCCCGAGTCAGACACATCTGACTCGCCAGAGTAGATGACCTCAACGTCGAGGTCATCATGCGCACGCGGTGAGGTGCCGCGTGCACTTGCAGCACCTGTTGCTGCAGGCGAAGAAGGAGCAGAAGACGACGAATCGTCTGCCGCAGAGGCTGGCACAGCACCGGGCTGTGTAGGTCTTGAGTCACCTCGCATGGACATGTTAACTATGCGAGGTCAAGCGGAAAGTAAATGGAACGGACCCAACAAGTGCTCCCTGTCCCAAGGGTGACCAACGGGTGGCCGCCATTATTTTCTATAGTCACACGGTGACTATCAGTTAAGGGGGTGATGTAACGGGGCAGCCCGTTACATGGAATTGTCACTTTAAGGAAAGTGACAATAAAGAATATGAAGTTGAATATTCTTTAAACAATATTACCGAAGCGGTGATATTGAAGGGTCGACCAAAGAGTCTGTTCATTGGTTGATATCTTGATGATATCAACCCACCAATCGCCGCAAGACGCGCGCAATGAGTGGTGACGAGACGTCACCATACATTCAGTTTGATTAGTATAATTAAGTTAAGTCAAACAGAGAGACAGTAGTTAAAAGACTTAATTGTATTAATACAACAGTTTTACTTTTTCCTTATCCTACGCTTTCTCGTTCGCCACGTGTACGTCTGGCGGGGCACCCAAAACCCTTGCGTGAACTTAACGCAAGGGTGTGCCCCGTTACAGTGGACCTCAACAACATGTCCTTTCTCGTTGATCTTGTCAGAGATCCACGACATCATCCTGGCTCGCTATGTAAATGAAGGAGGTCACGGCGATTTCCAGGTGGGAGCCGTTTGGCTCTTGTCTGAGAACTATCACACCAGGGGTGGGACACAATGCCAGAGCAGCCACGCCGAGTACTGCCCGTTTGCCACCACGGCCCAGCCATACAGCACCCGGAGCTCCGGCGGATTCCGCAGCGCCACAGCACTCAACGCCTCGCATTTCGTAGCGATGCCCAACGAAGGCCTTCAAATAAAGGGCACAAGCGCGATCTCAGTAGTTCACGATCCGTGTGATGCTCCGCCGTTCCGGTAGACAAAGGGAGGCGGGAATTGTACGTGGTGGATCCCGTACGCTTAATGTCCAAATCGGCGAGTGCGCAAGGCCGACTTCGGTCAATCAGCTCGGCACCAATTTGCTCCAGGTCCGTCCCGCAGCCAGAGATTGTCCGCCCACCAACACGATGGCAAAAACTGTTTCGTTTCGGCCGGAAACGTCCACGGTATGTCTGGCAATGGTGCACGCACAGAAATTGTCAATTGATCACTACCTATATATACCACTTCTCCTCCCATCGACGATGGGCTAAAGTTGCCATGTCTGTCCAGCAGTGTCATAAGTTCCGCTGACTGTGGCCGAAGCTATGCCTTTAACTCTGCCCGTAATATAGCCCAGGGTAGCTGGTGTCTGATTTGTCGGGTATGCATCAGAGGGACCGCGGCGTTATGACCGGCTCGCCCGCTTGGAGGGCAATCCGAAATGCCCAGTATTTCTCGGTCCAGTATGCCGGTCTACCCGCTATGTTGGTCACAAAAGTGCGTTGATCGTGAATCTGCTTAAATCAATCTTCTTTTTTGTTGGGTGCGCTTGCGACTTCGAGCCGTTCTGCGCACCACATCTTGCAGATCGTCTCTGCATATTTTCATCTTGTGCTTTATGCACTGTCCTGGGAGCGGCATTCGCCCCCATGCACAACACGACATATTGATGTAAACATATGTCTGTAAGTATAAACATATTAGGTCTCGGGGTATGACGCGGCGGATAAATGGTCAGGCAAAGCCAGCGGCCTTTCCCGTGCATGATCAGTCCAATCGAGTGCGTCACAGTCAGACATTTGGATCAGCCCATTCATTGATTGAAGTTCAGCCGGCTTTGTACGTCGAGATATACGGACGGAGCTAATCCATCGGTTGTCTCACAAATGCTCATATCGCGAGAGAATTGAGTGTTTACATAGGAGACATAGGAGCCGCAGCTCTGAAGTGTAGATCCGGCCATACTCTCGTCACATCACAAGACATTCGGTTTTGGACCAGTTTGAGGTGGGTACGGGGACCTTGCCAACCAGGGATAGAAGACGCATCTAATATTCCACACCGTGTGCCTGGTCCGCGGATCCGCAGCTGACCTCGTTCATTCTGCAATTTGCCGTGCACCCATCAAACACCCCACCGTCCACTCTGCAGTGAATCGTCTGCCCATCGAACGCGACCAGCAATGCGTGTGCACAAGCCTATGCTCGCAACCTGCGTGCTTCTCTTGCAGAGAACGACAGAGTCAACAACCACGAGCGGTGTGCAGAAGACCGTTGCTGCTCAAAACGTGTCCGCTGTTCCACTTCGTTGGGAGAAGTTTGCGACCGTTAGACCATCACGCGTGAAGCCACAAGATGCAGTCGCGGAAGTGGCCAACGACGAAGATGGGGACCAGGAAGAGCGAATGTTCCCTACACGGTCCTCTATATTCGAAGGAACGCACGCTATGGAAGGAGTGGAAAGGTTTTCGCTACCACAAGCTCGCGTAAGCGAGATTCTTACGTCCCACGCGATCAACGAGAAAATCGAAACTATCGTGACACCTATAACGCTGCGGCAGTGGCTCTACAACATCGGTACACCTGGTTATTCCTTTGGCGACGATCCCTCGGTGAAGAAATTGGTGCAATCCGGACGGGAAGGAGAGCTAGTGTTGTATATTCATCAGTTGCGAGGCGTCGCTGGTATAAAAGGCCACGCTGATATGATGCAAAAAGCCCTACTTGCAGAATACCCCCAGGCTATTCCCCTGGCGTTCAATTTGTGGGCAGAGTCAAAGGTGAGCATCGATGAAACTTACCACATGATGCCCATCTCAGCAGTAAGAAGCACTTTGGGTGCCGTCGGAGAAAAGCCGAGCTGGCCCGACAGTTTCCCCCTTCTTAAGCATTGGCTGCAGTTCGTGTACAAGCACCGATCTGAAGATGCCGGCTTTAGTGATGGTCAAGTGATCGACGTGTTGCGAAGAAACCGACATGTTGCGGAGGTGGTGCATTTTCTGGACTGGCTCCGAAATGAACCTGATATGAAGATGGAGGCTTTCGTTCTCCTACCGACGCTAGCTGTGAAGCTATCGAAGTCGGCAGAGTTGGAGCCGTTATTCGGTGCGTGGCTAAAGCTAAAGGTGAATCCTGTAGAAGCTTACCACAGGATGGGCATCTCAGGAGAGAAAAGGTTTGGGTATGTCTTATCTATGATCAAGGATTGGGTATATTATCTACGCAAGTACCGATCTGAAGTCGGCGGCTTTGGCGACGATCAAGTGGTCCAAGTGCTAACGGACGATCGAGATAGGGTCGATTGTCTGAAGATTTTCATGTGGCTTCGATTCCTACCAGGCATGAAAGAAGACGCCGACCTTTTTCAAAGGAGTCTCATTTTGGGATCATCTGATCCAGCTGAAATGCTGCAGCTGGTGTTCGATGTGTGGCAGAAATCAAAGGTGAGTCCTGAGGAAGTGTACAAAGTGGTGCCGATCTCAACAGAAGATGGCACTTTCGGTACACTCCGGGAGGGCTCAGATCCACCCATCACCTATCGCTTGCATAAGTGCTGGGTAAGGTATTTAGGCAAGCACCAATCTGAAGTTGACGGCTTCGGCGATGATAAAGCTATCGGTATCTTGTTAAAAGATCGACCTGATGTTGGCGAGGTGGTGAATTTTCTGAATTGGCTTCGAGACGAACCTGGCATGAAAATGCACGCTGACCTTTTGCAAAGGGCCCTCATCGCGCGATTTTGGGAGTCCGCAAAAATATTGGAGCTGGTGTTTGGTGCGTGGCAGAAAACAAAAGTGAGTTTTGATGAAGCTTACCACATGATGCCCATCTCAGCAGTAAGAAGCACTTCTGGTGCCGTCGGAGGGAAGCCGAGCTGGCGCGACAGCTTCCCCTTTCTCAAGCATTGGCTGCAGTTCATGTACAAGCACCGATCTGAAGATGCCGGCTTTAGTGAAGGTCAAGTGATCGACGTGTTGCTAAGAAACCAAAATGTTGTGGAGGTGGTGGATTTTCTGATTTGGCTTCGAAATGAATCTGGAATGAAGGCCTGTGCTGACCTTCTGCTAAAGACACTATTTTTCAAGCTCTCGGAATCTACAAAGGAATTGAAGCTGGTGTTCGTTGCATGGCAGAGAAATAAAGTCAGTCTTGATGACGCTTACCACATGCTGCCCAACTCAGCAACGCAAAACCTTGGTGGCGACGCGGGTCTGCAGTCAAGCTCGTCTGGCGACTTCGGTGTGCTCAAGGCATGGCTGGATCACTTGTACAAGCTCCCAGGTGACAACCTTCGCGATGATCGAGTGGCTGAGCTGTTGGTCAGCAACCGACCTAAAGCCGAGTTGGAGAAATTGTGTGAGGTGCTTAATTATCAACCGAAGACAAGGAAACTGGCTGTCACACTAAAAAAAAAGGTAGCTTTGAGATGGCCGGTTTTGTAAAAATTGCAGCTGATGATCGATCGATGTTTGGCTGGATGGGGCTAGTTTGGTCCGTCGAACTCGTTAATAATCTGAGGTATCATCGTCGCTATATGCAAGCTCGCTTGGAGGTATTTTACTCCGTGCTGGCTTTGTTCATTCCTATACGTCTTCCGCAGCAATCCGTTGACCATGGTATCCGGGATGTTTGAGATTCGGGCTATCACAAGTAAATGCGCTCAAGTTGCGGAAGGCAGTCCAAACGGTAATCTCGAGCTGATGTATGAGATAAACGTAATTGAATGCACCATGTTTTTTATCTGAAGGTAAATACAGCATTTCTAATTTGCTACCGCGATAAGGTACTTTGCATGCTAAAGAGCATATCTTTGAGCGCGAAGCCAAACAATTGATTGAGTGTACCGTTCGCATGTTTCTAGCTGTTCCCCGACGGCGATGGCAGCTTTACACTGATGTTCTCCGCTCCCTTTGCCTGGGGAGTAGTTTGCTCTGTGGAAGGCTGAATGGTTTTGATCTTGCTATCACGATACCTTGCCACCTTTCTGTTGCTGTTTTCTAGAAGAGGTATGTAACACCGTGCGATCCGGTTACTAGCAATCGCTTGTTTTACGAAAAGACTTGCTGTTGTCGATGAGAACAACAATGTAGTTCTTGCAAATGCGTAATAGGACGTTCTCGACCTCCGGGACGTCCTTCATGAATGGAGTGTACCTTACGTTACGCAGCTAGTCAAACGACTGTAGGCTACTCAAAAACGTGAAGTGCAACAGTTGTCTTGCAGCGAGTGGCGACCGAACCGGGTCAGCTGTTGGTACGTGCTCTTGGTACGATTTATTCATAGGTGCTCAATCGCATCATTACGTAAGTTCGTTTGACCGTCGATAGACAGTTTACCGGAAGCTCAGGTCGTTCGCAAGTACGTGTCAGTAATAAGAGCGGCATATATCAGGTCTTGCTTGTTTTCCGTTGTCTAATATCGGGCAAACAGGTTCCAGAACAACATGGCATAAAACGGGTGCTGATTGTACGATCGACCAAAATGCTAGTACCGCGGTACCTTTCGAAGCGGTAGATCCGGTACGCTTCTTCCTGAACCGACAAACCAAGCATGAAAAGTCAAACATGGGCTGTACATTTGAACGTGCTGAGGCCTGTCGTATCCGGTCATGTATGAGCGCGGTTGAGGGAAAACGATTGCGTGCTATCCTTGTCCGAAGACTTAAGGATTAGGACTTGCAATGGGAACGACCGATTAATAGATACTGGACACAATCAGCGTTCCAGCTTGTTGCTAAGCTTAAATTCCGTCAGACAACACAAGTACTTCCTGGGCGTACATGTGCTGTTTGCACCAACTATTCTTCAGTGTCTTCAATTCGCAACTCTACACGTACGTGGCGATTGTCGAGAAGACAATCAGCGGACGTGATCTTTGTCGGTTTCCATCCGGCTTGTAAAATCTTGAGTCCGATGAGTGCTGATGTTTGGACGGCATAAATGAATATATCTCGAGCTACGTGTGCATAAGGAAAGATCCATCAGGCTTTCCTACGTGACTTCACTTAATTTACACAACAAGTCCGTTAAGTGCTCAATGGCAAAGATATCGCTGAATTCCGAAGACTGAGAGCACAGCACGGCAACGCAATGCTCCAACATATGCCTTGTGGCCTAGATACCACTATCTTAATAGCCTGAACAAGGAGTACTCTTTTTGGTCAGACAATCGTTCATATGGTGCTTGGACTCGCTTGCACGACATTGTCTACTTGTCGAACGATGTACAAGTATGCCGTGTAGCAAAACTACCTACGTTCCATGGCGTCGATGGGACCAGGTCACAAAGCAGCACGCATGTTCTCCTCAGACCAGTGACGATGACAGCTCTTGTGATCAACTGAATGTAGTTCGTCTGATGGTTGGAAGACAGCCTTGAGGTTTGACTAACAACGCTAGCTCAACAACCGAAAGTCGACAATCTGCGTGGTTACTTCTGAACCATCTTCGCCCCGTCATAGAAGTCGAGAGCTGCAGCTGACAAGCTATCATCTTAGCGCTTCCGCACAACCAGTCATTCACGCACTCGCGACTGCACCGACACCCATATCGCAACGTAGATTGTAGTATCAGGCGGCTTAGAAAATCTAATGTGGTTGATTTCGGGAGCCAAAGACTCAAGCTAGATAAAATAGCTTTCCAAAAATAGACGCGGACACTGGACAAGCACGACGATAATTTCCCCACTGTTAGCCGTGATGTTTTATCAGTATCATCCATTCTACAACTTTTGATTCGGAGCCGACTAACACCCCAAATCGGGGCACCTTCAGCGTTGAATCTTTCATACGCTAGTTGGGTCATGTCATAATTGATCTTCAAAAGCATCAACTTGCCAATGTTGCGACACACTAACAACACGCACACCCATCACCCGCTACTTCCTCGTGTTCTCCATGACGCAGGCCACCGAGAAATGATTTGGCGAAGATGGGTTGCACATGTGTCATACTAAAAACGAGAGACTGACTCTAAATCTACATTTTTCGACGCGAGGTGATGATTTGAAGAATGTCGGCGCATGACGTATGTGCCAAGGTTTATTTTTCACTTAAAAACACTCGAGCTTTAGCCTCCGTTGCACTGCGGCAGCCACGACCACCTGCTCCGCTTACCATGGATATGGCGTGCAATGCCAGTAGCTCAATTCGTTCATAGCTACAGATCACAACTTCCTGTAATCGTCCATCAAGATTCGTATTATAAGGCGATAGCCAATTTGTAATCACTCTTCAGATCCAGTGCAAATTTGCGCATGACCCGCCACTCGATTGTACGAATGTGATCAACACGGTAATCTGTCCGCATCGATGTCACTAGCAGCATGATTTCGACACACTTTCAATCAGCACAGTCTAATTTCAATCGATGTAAGCGAAGAGAGCCGGACCCCAAATGGTCTGCCTTACGTGAGGGTGAACTTAGCTCTGTATCGTTTCCGCGAATGTGATAGTTATTTGTAATACCTTTCTACCGCAGTGCGTTGCTAGCGACGGTGTAATTAAAGACTCTGCATAAGCGTCCTCAAATCTGCTTTCATGTGCGATCGATGTTCGCGTAGGTGCATGTAGTGTGCATGTGACAAAGTGGGCATTGCTTTCGAGCGCCACTAATGCAGCTGGACAAGTAAAGTACGACGAGATATGTGCTGACGGTCTCGCTGTTCTGCATATTATATTGACAGTAATGTGATGAATTGTCACGGGACGCAATAACGGTAACCAAGAACGATGTTGCACTCAAGTAGAAATTGGAATCAATCGAGACTACGGCGTTTGGCGAATGCTGAAGTTTTTTTTACCAACCTTTCAAAATGGTAAGGCATACCATCTCGCGAACAAGTTTGAGCTGCTGCAGTATCAATGGTACACAATGAAGGCTTATCCTGACAGTGGTAGTGGGTAATGTATTCAAGAGTTCAATAAATCCTAGTGGCAACGAAAAAAGGTAGTACTCTCGCGCACCAGCAGAACGTTCTTGCAGAAAAGTGATCGGAACCATCTGTAGTACAAGGTCGACATCATAGCGATGTGGTGGGCCATCAAATGAGTTCTTACTTGTGACAAAGGTTTCTGGTTGACAAAACTCCAGCTCTACTTTTTGAATACATGACGACGTATATTAACATGGTGTATACGCCTAGATCCCATCAAATATGCGATGACGAATAAACATAAGAGCTTCCATGTTGTTCCGTGGGTATACCAGTGGTTAGTGGTCTAAGCGTGGCAGGTGAAAGAGAGCACGTTGACAGCGGTAAATTTGTGAAAACGACGTGAGTACGATGCACTAAGGCGATATTATGGACGAATGGTCACAGCAGAGCTGCTTCGTTATTCATTGCGAGCGACAAACACGTAGTGCATGTCGATCGGTATTCAACGGCCAGATCATCCTATAACCCCGAGTTCATTAAATGTTACCGTGCTGCTTAAGTTTTCCTGAACCCTGTTTTTTTCAATGCATGTATATGCGCTCCAAGCCGCGGCAAGATATTGCGATATTATCAATGCTGACGTACCAATAGTGTCTGGTTCGAAGCGTCAGGATACTAGTCAATGTTAAGTGCAGAATGTTCACACCCAAGCACCGGGAGCCTTGGTAGCATCAAGCTGTTGCTATGATCGGAGCGACTTCGCTGTCCAGTTGGTAATATATCACGATGTGATTTGTAAAGACAGGATCGAAACGGTTGAGAGCGCGACTCATCAATCTCTAGCGCAAGGACACGCGCACAACGCCAGTGCATATCTGTGGAATGTTTGGGGATGCGTATGTATGTAGTGGATGAGACGTGCATGTGCGAGGGAGAATAAAAGCTCTAGTCCCTATGAGTTTTGAGCCTGTAGGCTTACCAGACATGTGAAGACCACAAGAGCTAGCAGCTCAAAATTTAAGTTCCTGAATTCAGCGGTAGTTACAGGTCCTGCTGACGACTGACGACCTAGTGAAATTTTGCCAACACGACCGGAAGAAGCGCAGCTACTACACTCGCAGGATGCACCTGCCATCGAGGTGTTGGTAACATGTAACGGGGTTACACAACGTATGTGGTCTACACCAGGGACGGAGTCTTATGAAACATGATATTAGAACACCTAATCAATTGTTGGGGGCTGACGTGTGTCAGCCACCGTATTACGTGCTCTTTTAGGAGATATTAATCAGATCAAGAATTGTCTAGATTAAGTACGTTCTTCTTAGGTGTTATTTTAATATAAGAAGAAATAAAAATCAGTTCTCATTTTGATATGCGAAAAACACGTGCCTTTCTAAGGCGTCTTGCTATCGTTGAGAGTCTAGCATACACCTTGGTAAGGCAGCTACTCGTAGAGCACTCTGTGTTGAGATTCTCTGAATCGTTTGGTCCCCTGGAATAGGGACCGTAAGCTCTCTGAGCCTGTTGGCTCTCTGAGTCGAGTTCTTTGAACTAAAGCTGCTCG